TCCCAGCCCAGCAGAAGCAAGGCCTACAGTAACGGCGCCAGCGAGATCTACCTACACCGTTCTTGTTCTTGAATCTGCTTGTGTTTTTTCGTCTGTGGGCTGAGAAGGAGAGAGGGAGAGGGAGAGGGAGAGGGAGAGTGTGTGAGAGAGAGACACATCTACGGTATTCAGGGCGCATGCGCCGAATTTTCAATTCGAGGGTTAACATTACTAGAAGGGAGGAGTAGAGAACGAGGACACGCATCGACCATCTCGGAATCAGACACATAACATGGGCGTCTGGTACCGATACCGGTAGCCCTACTGGTTCGCCCGCATCCAAGCTGGCCACACGTCGGCGTCCCAGTGATGACCTAAGATGGCCACTTTCCCGTCGCGGCCCAGGCTGTCACGTCGTCAGTCAGGGGGGTGCATCGGGCTTGGGCTTGCAGGACGTCTCACCGGAGCAGCTCTTCTCTCTCGTTGCACAGTCTCAGGAACAGGTGGAAGTCATGCCTGGTGACGTCGCAGCGGAGGGCCGCGCCGTAGACCACGTGGTAGACCTCGGCTTCGTCGGCCGCCCGCTGGTCGCCGCGGCCGCGGCCCGAGAGCAGGCCGGGGAGATCGGCGCGCAGGGTGTCGTTCCGGATGCGGGCCCACTTCGCCGGGGTGAGGCCGCGGCTCTTCAGGGGGGCGAGGTCCCACGTGCGGGGGAGGTCCCATCCGTTCTCGACCATGATCAGCAGCTGCGCCGAGAGGGGCTTCCGCATCTCGGCCGTGCTTCCGAAGATAAATGTCAGTCAGTCGGTCGGTCAGTCACGGCGTGGGAGGGGGCAGATCCGGCCACACGTACCTATCGGAGCCCGAGGACACGAAGAATCGGCCGTAGAGGAACCAGTCGCAGAGGTACGTCTGGAAGACCTCCGCGGGCAGCGGCTGGACCATCTTCGTCCTGATCTCCTCGAGGAGCGTCGCGGCCGTGATTCGCGACCCGCGCTCGACGCAGAGGCGGTACATCCAGCGTCTGATGATGCCTTCCGCGTCGTGGATGCCGGGGGGCCGCCTGCTCAGTGCAAAGGGTAGGCGACGAGGCGGGCCTTGCACGCCCTGTTCCGTGCACGTCTCCCACCCGTCCGGGACGAGGAATACCTTACCTGTGATGGGGCTTATCCGGAAAAGCTGGCCCGCGCGGTGGGAATAGACGAGGAATGCTTCGAGGACCTTCTTCGGCACAAGGGGGCTCAGACCAGGGCTGAACGAGAGCCGATCGTTCACCAGCTTGGAGAACTCCGCTCTCGTCCACCCGGCGCAGTCGTCGGGATGGAACACATCGAGCAGCGGGAAGATGTCGGGCGAGGTGAAGAATTGAGCTAGCAATGTGGCCCAGTTGTCCGGCGACTCGCCGAATCTCCCCTCTCCGATCATCGGCGCCGTGGGAATCATCGGACGCTCTTCCAGAAGACGGATGGCATCTTCCAATGCCATTTTGCTACCGAACATGGGAGCCACCGGGCCTAGCATCGATTGGATCGTCGTCCTCGGGATCCTTTCCCCGTGCCTCTCTCTCGGCAGCTTCGTCGGGACGTCTTTCCCCTCGCCGATCTTCCTCGCCCGGGCAAGGAAACTCTCAAAGTCGTCGCATTCCTTCTGGAAGAGATTTCCCAGGTCCCGGAAGTCGTCCTTGGAGTATCGCGAGGGATCCTTCGCCGTTACCAGCCACGGGTTGTAGACGGAGATGGATTCGTGATGCGCTGCCAGGAGCTCGAATATCTCGCTCCGCTGCTGGACGGAAAGATCCCCTTCGACAACGAGGTCGTCTAATCTCGCCAAGAGTGTACTTTTGCGATCGTGGAAAAAGCAGGTCTTGTAGATGTAGTTGATAGATTGAGGATGGTTGACTTCCTCAGGTATATCTTCCCTGTAACGAGTGGTCGCGGCGAGATCTGGAGCTGGTCAGCACGGTCTCGCCTGGAGATGGCATTCGTTCTTGGAAGCGTGAGCTGGAAAGGAATGCTTCTAGAGCATGAATCAAGGCGAACCGCTCCCCGTCATCGCCCGCAGAAAATTTTTCCAGGAGGTGCTTACCCGACATCCACTTGAGGATTTTCACGACGAGGTCGTTCCGTGACTGATGATCCACGATCGTGTCGTTGTTGATGTACGACTCGTAGCTTTTCGTCTGCTGTGCCAGCAAGAGGGACTTGAGCTCCCGATGATGCTCGGCTTCCTGTTCCATCTCACGGCTTCGATGCCCTTCCAGAGTCTCAACGTCGTCTCGATAACCGGCGGCTCTCGCTTGGCGAAGCACGTGTACCTGGTTCTGCACCATCTCATCTCTGTCGTTGCAGAGACGCTCGTGACTCCTGATCTCCCTCTCCAGACCACGAATGATCTCGTTGCTCCTGTCTTGGATCTCCAGGTTGTTGGCTCGATCTTGCTGCAGAGCACGCTTGCGCTGCGTCAGCTCAGCCAACGCCGGCGTCACCCAGAACTCGAGGCCGGTTCTGTACCACGGAAATGTCCGGACGTCGTCATTCTTGGGCGGGACTTCGTATGTGAAGGTTTCCGGGGCTCGATCCGCTCTGGTCCAGGACAACCCGGACCTGGGTCTCTGCGGTGCTGGTGGACCTCCTCGGGAGACTGTCCTTGTTGCCGTCTCCAGCCTCTTGAAGTTGAGCCAGACTTGCTTCATGATAAGCTTGTTCTTCACGAACCATTTGGCCAGCGGTACGAGTTCACGCTCTTGCTGTTTGATTTGAGACGCGTAGATGTCATGCTGACCGAGCTGGTCTTGCTGGTCCAGGAGGTAAAGAATCTGATGCTGAATCGTATTGTACTCCGACTTTCTCGTTGCCCATGCCTTCTTGTTTGCTGTCCACCACTCCTTCATTCCTTGCAGGTTGCCCAAGTACAGGCGGAGCTGTCCATCGGACGCGATGAGACTCTGGTACGTGTCGCACTGCAGGCGTTCTCTCAATCGCCTGCTGTTCGGGCTGAGAGGAGGACTTCCCGGGTTGGCTGGACTGTTAGGCGGAGTCGCGAACTCCAGATGCTTACGGATCGCGTCGGCTTCGGAGGTCGATACAGCATTGCCAAGCCTCGACTGTAGCTCGGAGTGGCTGGCTTCGAGGATTTCCCGAATCTCTTGATCGATGAGAGACATCTCGGACTGTGCTGGGCTGTGTTCGTCGGCAGCCGCATGCTCGTCAACATGATCGGCGCGAGTTTCGGGAGGATGACTGGCGCGAAGGAGAGCCAACGGGTCCGGTCTCTGCTTTTGGGTCGCTTCAGCTCTGGTCTTTCTGATTTTGCCCAAATTGAGCGGTGCGACCACGGCACTGGGCCTCCGTGCAGATCGACCTGAGGAGATGGGGGGAATAGGGGGCGGACTAGATGATCCAGCCCGAGGAGATCTCAGATCGCGAGAAGGCGCCATTGCGACGGTGCTAGATGATGCTAGATGATGCTAGAACGATGAAGCACAGTTGCTAGGCAAGGGGAAGAATATACGGTTCTCCAGGCAAGACGACGGCTTTCATCTTTCGGGATTCTTTGTTACTCGGACGCCTTTTGCTGCAAACGGTCTTGTCCCCGGATGCGGAAGTCCAGATTGCAAGCCAAAAAGCTTCGCACGAGGAGAGTTCGAACACAGAACTGTCCCAAAGATTCATAATCTATAGTGTGTTTCTATACTATATCTTGTGCCAAAGCAGACCTGCAATGCACATTTGCAGTTTCCAGTACTGTAACCCTACACCGCACGACAATATATATGCAAAATTGAGCATTCTATGCCTCGAGGACTCTAGCTCACGGATCCAGCGCAGACAACTTCACAGCGGGGCGACGCTATGAATTGAAATGAAATGGATGTGCCTCAGACTATCTTCACTGTCCCAAATCAACAAAAATATCGACAGTCATCTCTTTCTCATATCAGTCGCCACCCTCAAACTGACTGATACTTGGAATTTTCCAGGCGAGGGAGGCAGTTGAGCTTGAACGAGAACTTGGTCAAAAAAGAAAAAGAAGAAAAAAAAAAAAAAAAAAAAAGAT